ACTAAACAAATTGCTGAGATCAATATTAAAAGATCCAAATAAACAGGGAAATAGATCATGTCTATGGATAGGAAGACTCAATGTTGTAATTATCTGTAAATTCAATGCAATCCCAATCCCTATCCCAATGAGGCTTTTTCTTTTTTCTTCAAGAAAAACTGACAGGCTAAAGTTTGCATGGGGAAGGAAAAGACCTAACAGCCAAAATAATCTTGAGAAAGACTGCAGAACTTACAATACTTAAAGACACCATAAAGCCACTGTAATCAAGACAACACAGTGTTTTTGTGGGGACTGATACACAGAGCAATGAGATGAAATACACCATCCAGACACAGTCAATTGATTTTGACAAAGGCAAACTGATTTGAGGTAATTTAATGGATAGGCAAAGATTTCCTAGGATATAGTTACTAACCATAAAAAAAAAATTGATAAACTAGATTTCATCAAAATTAAAACTTTTGTTCTTCAAAAGACATCATTTAAAAAAATGAACAGCAAGCCACAGACCAGCAGAAAATAGTCATCATAAACACATCTGAACAAGGATTTGTATCCAGAATATATAAATAACCTTTACAACTTGGTAAGACAAAACCACCCAACTTTTAAAATGGACACAATGAGTGTAGACACTTAACAAAAGAAAATGTGTGAATGGCTCATAAGTACCCAAAAAGCAGCTCAACATCTGAAGAATTAGAGAAATGTAAATTAAAACCGTGAGATGCCAGTACACACTTAATAGAATGGCAAAAATAAGAAAGACTGACCAAGTCAACTGTTGGCAAGACTACTGTGCAAGTGGAACTCTCATAAATTGCAGTGGGAGTGTAAACTGGTATAATCACTTTGGAAAGCGATTTGGCAACTTCACATAAAGTTAAGCATATAGTTAGCATACAACCAGTGACTCCACTCTTAGGCACTTGCCCAGGAGAAGTGAAAACACGTGTTTACAAGAAGACTTGTATGTGAATATTCAGGGCAGCTTGATTCATAATACCTCCAAATGCCAACTACTCAAATGTCCATCAACAGGATAAATGAGCAAATTATAATATATTCATACAACAGACTACTACTAGGCAATAAGAAGGCAAAAGCTAAGGACACACGCAACAACGTGGATGAGTCTCCAAAACACTGTGTTGAGCGAACGAAGCCAAACACGAAAAGGGTACAAACCGTTCGATTCCATTCACACGGAGTACAAAAACGAGTGCAGATCAGAACAGTGATATCTCTGATGGGTCTAATGGAAGAAGGCTGGGGGGAACTTCCTGGGGTGACGGAAATGCTTATTTTGAATGCAACAGTGTTTATATGGGGATATGCATTATAGGTTTATCTAAATTTATCAAACTGTGCACTTAACTTGGTGTACTCTTTTACCTAATAAAAAAAGAATATTGGGGAAAAAACTGGATGGATTGTTGACAGCATTTGCTTCTGGGTAGAGGACTGGGAATTCTGGATTGGGGAGAGACTTTTTATTGTACATACTTTATACTACCAGGATTTTATGGCAGGTTACATACATTACTTTTCAAAAACTAGATTAGGGAAAAAAAGCTATTAAGAGATACAAATAAACACGATTACGGATCTGAAACTGGACTCAAAATCAGAGAACAACAGACTGTATGGCAAAAGCCAAGGGACAGTCAAAGCAAAGGAAGCCATATACTCACAAGACAGAAATAATGCACACTCAGATTGTCTTTCTGAAGAAATTCCCCTAATTTTTCGGGATCCCCAGGTTCTCGAAGGCACAGCAGGCAAACTAGAAGGGAGAATGTTCAGGGGTCATTTTGGGAGCGTAACCATCTGTCCAAGCATGAGGAGTGGCATTCATTCTGACTAGCAGCGAGAACAGACGAAGTGTTATCTGATGACAGTCAGGCCTTTACATAAGTTTGGCCACATTTGAAGGGTTGACTGCAACTGCTCACTTCGTATACTTTGCTTTAAATAACTTGTTTCTTGAACTTTGAACATGACATTTAAAAATTACAGACCCTGAGCACTTCAGGATCTTAGTCTGGGAAGGAAGGACGATCAACAGTGAGGTGGGCAAGTCTGCTGCCACACGGGTGGCCTCCACTGAGGCCAGGAGGCAGCAGCCAAACAGACCTCCAGGCTTTCTTACCGGGCCCTGAGGACAGCTTCCTCCGGGTCGCCCTCCTTGTCTTGGCAGACTTTCTGTACAAAAGAAAGAAGAATAAGATGGTCTTTAAGGATCCTGTCAACACCCTTGCAACATTTCCCTCAAAATGCCATCTGTGGATCTGATGATAGATCAAAATAGCAAAAGGCTAACATACCAGGTTCTTTTTCCATTTCATATTGTTTGAATGTACAAAACACACCCACTGCACTGAATTATAGGAGATTGTAACCATTTTTCTATTCCCGTGCCTGTGTTGCCTGTTGACTAAATGAATGAAAAAGCAAAACCCCTTTTATTCTCAAACTGTTTCTACCACTCTGAATCTCAGGTGGTGCCATGTTTACAAAACATATTAGACACTAAAGGTGATTTTAAAATTAATTAATAATTTCCTATTGCTAGGCCCTATACTCTTGGCTTTTATATGCATTAGCTCAAGGAATCTATAGAATGCTCTTAAAAAGTGGGTGCTCTTATGCACATTTTCCAGAAGAGGAAACATAAAGAAATAAAGTAACCTGTTCCAGGTCACCTAGCTAGCAGGCGTGAGCAGCAGGAAATGACTCTAGGCAGTAGGGCTCCCAAGGCAGCACTTTTGCTACTAGGGACCTGGGAGGAGAGGGCCCAGGGCAGCTTCCAGAGGACCACTGGTGCATGCTTCCATGCTACCCAACCCCAATCCCACAAAGTGCAGCATATATCACCGGCCATCAAACAATTTCTCCCAAAACTCCCTTACATCATCTACTATACCTCAATACTTGACATTCCTTCTGGTCTTTTACAGTCTTCATTCGCTGCTGCCTCTCTCCCTCCTATCTTGAATTCTTCTACAATATTATGAGGACACAGGCTCTTCCAACTATAAATATAAACAGGGCTTGGTCAGCAATTTAATTCCATATTTGGTTTTCAAGTTCCACAGGGGCAGAGCAATGGTGCACTTCACCTCACAACCCAACCTGTGAAAACAGATGGGACTCACCCAGGATCGATGCTAATAATGGCCAATAATTATATCGTGTCCAGACCTGTTCTAGGCATTTCCCATGTGTTAATTCACAAAAACTCCATGAAGTGGGTACCACTATTATCCCCATTTTCATGGTGAGGAGTCCGAGGCACAGAGAGGCACTTAACAAGGTCAGTTACTGCTACCACACAGCAGAAGAAGAACTTAGAATCATCGCCTCACCTGGATAAATGGTTGTTTTCTTTGGGCCTTCGAAATTAATAAGGTGGCATTCAGGAAAAAGGGCTCCTTTTGCCCTCAAGTACAGATGCCTTAATTCTACCCAGTAAAAGCTAGGGAAGATAGCTTTTTCCTAGGAAAAAGGCGTTTGTGGGACTTTGGCTGCCTGAAGCAATAACTCCCTCTAGCGGGAGACCAAAGAGTAACACTGACAAACCGGACCTCGGCTCCAACACCGTCCACCAGGCTCAGGTGGCCACTGAGGTCTGGCCTGTTCCCAGCCTTGGTCTAGATCGGACACAAGAGTAAAATGGCCAGAAGTGGAGGAGGAGACACCCTCACATGCCTTCGCCCACCACCGTCAGAAGACTGCAAATTCACAGTTCGCACTGATTACGTGGGAAACCCCTGAAAGTGAAGGGGGGCGGAATAAAATCCACTCCTGAGAAGGAAGGACTGTGTCTAGTCGGGGAGAAGAGGACGGCATTTCTTAGAAGGGGAGACGACTGAGTCAGGTCAGCCCAGGGGCATATGCTTCAGCACTCCTGTCCTAAAAGCACAGCGTGTGAACGCCTGCAGGGGCTGATGCAAACAACTACTGGGGTACTGGGTGTTCTGAAACCAAGGCTGCTCGTGTTCGCTCGCCTCCTCTTCTAACCCGGTTGCCCTTGCAGAAGAAATGCCACTGGATGGCTTCTTACCCAACCAAATCACCCGGCAGGCTGGAGGAGGAGAGACAGAGGGCAGCCCCGCGAGCTGACCACTGAGCGGTTCCCCCTGTCGGGGCCATCCCCACCCTTAGCAACAGAAAAGAAACCTTGAAACGTCAGTTCTTCGCATCGCTGTACCACGACGTTCCTTGAGCGGGTTCTGTGCACACTGGTAGTTAGAGGAAGGCGCGACAATCTTCACAGCGGCTCGGTCCCAGATTTCCTGACCGAACGGATGCTCCCTTGACACGGTTACCAAGTTGTTTCACTGGATAAGCGCTGGGTAAAAGCTTGTTGAGAAAATTAAAAATGAATAAGCGTGTTCAGCCCCGCCGCCCCAGGAATAAACAATAGTATTTGGAAAATACCTGCCGGTGTGGCCGCAACAGTCCCCCGGAGGTAACAGTTGGAGAAGGGGCTCAAGGAGCATCCCGCGAATGGCAGACCAGGCTCAAGTCGCGCCTGCCGGGCGGGGGATGCGCGGCCGGGCCGGAGGGCGCCGCTGTCCCGGAGCTTTATCCGTTGTCACAAGCCGTGGTGGCTACCTTCCGGGCGACCGCCCCGCGCGGCGACTGCGCCGGTGAAGGGGGCGAGCGCGCAAGGGAGAGACGGGTCACGCGCACTGGGACCCAGGGAGAACGCGGCCGCGGGGATCTGGGCAAGGCCGACCGTTGGCGGAGCTGGGGCACTAACGGCGGCGCGCCCGCCCCGCCTCTTCCTTTCGCGACACTGCGCCCGACATCGCGCTCGCCCCGCCCCTTCCTCTCGCGCCACCCGCGCCCAACACCTCCCCCCCCCGCCCCTTCCCCTCGCCCCGCCTCTCGCGCGAGCGCGCGGGCGTCCGGAGTCCAACCCGCGGAAGACAAGCCCAGAGGCGGGGCGGTGGCCGTCGCGCCGTGGTGACGTATGCCGCTGGCGCGCGCGAGTGACGCTAAGGGCCCGTTGTCTGTGTGTGGGGCTAGGGGCCCCGGGGCGGCGGGGGCTCCCGGCGGGGGCGACGGTGTGTCGGGAGGGCCTGGACATGGCGCTGAGGGGCTGCCCCGCGGGAAGATGAATAAGGGCTGGCTGGAGCTGGAGAGCGACCCTGGTGAGGAGGGGGCCGGGCGGGCCGGGCGCGGGCTGGGGAGGTCGGGTGGGCCCGAGAAGCGCCCGCCTGACCACCACTCGCTCCTCTTGTCGCCCCATCCAGGCCTCTTCACCCTCCTGGTGGAAGATTTCGGTAAGAGCCTCTCCAAGCCCCCGGGTCCGGGCTGTAGTGGGGCCACTCCTGCACCCGTCCACGGCCGGGGGCAGCCCTTCCCGACTTCTTTCCTTCCCTAATGGCAGGTGTCAAAGGTGTGCAGGTGGAGGAGATCTATGATCTTCAGAGCAAATGCCAGGGGTGAGTGGCTTGGCCCCGGGTCAGCTCCTTACCCACCCCCCCAGGGCTAGGGAAGGGTGCCCCTCAAGAGAGGTAGGTAGTACGAGGAACCGCAGGTTGTAAAATCTCATAAGGAGGCCTCCTTCCCCTTTGGGTGCCCTCCTGGTCAGGCCGATGTTTTTTCTGTCTCCAGTCTTACCTCAGAACTTCCCTTTATGTAGTAGTCCTCTGTCCCCTCCAGTACAAATCCTAACCTTCCTTTGGAGAACAGTTCAGCCGCTTTTTCTGGTCGTGGGTCAGGAAGCCAACCCCTTCTCTTGACCCAGGTCACAGTGTCTTGTGCAGCTGTAATTTATTAAAACACTGCTTTAATGTGCCTGTGTGCCAGGGCTTTAATCTCCATGCAGAAGTCCTGTGTTGACTGGTTGGTGTTTGGCATCTGACAAGGCCCCTCCTGGGTGACCAACCTCAGGGTCTTGCCTTGGTGATTCTGCAGAATAGAGGTATAAGGGGACTGCTACAGTGACTGAGCCAGGAAATCTGCTTTTGTTTCCCAGGAAAGAGGGACTGACAAGGGTGTTCATTTGCTTCACTGGGGCCCAGTCTTGGGGCCCAAAAGCGAGAACTAGTATTTACCTTCTGTTCCTACCTTGTCTTGGGCCATTAGTTCAGCTTTTCTCTCATCCCCAAACCATAGATTCCATAAGGACACTGGGTAGACTCCTGGAGTGCCACAGCCAGAAGCTGATGCTTGACTGCACGGCAGGCTTCTGGGGCATGAGGGCTTAGGGCCACTTGGGGCAGTGTTTTTTCTGTCTCCAGTCTTACCTCAGAACTTCCCTTTATGTAGTAGTCCTCTGTCCCCTCCAGTACAAATCCTAACCTTCCTTTGGAGAACAGTTCAGCCGCTTTTTCTGGTCGTGGGGGAGAGGAAGCTGGGAAAGGTGCAATCGTGGGAAGGGCACCTGGGTGGTAACACAGAGCAAGGGAATAGGGGGAGAAAGGGGATGCTGTTTGCTCCCCACACTGGGCTGGTCTAGCTCTGCCACTTACTTTCCCCAGCCCCGTGTACGGGTTCATCTTCCTGTTCAAATGGATCGAAGAGCGCCGGTCTCGTCGCAAGGTCTCTACCTTGGTGGATGACACATCTGTGATTGATGACGATATTGTGAATAACATGTTCTTTGCCCACCAGGTCTGCTGGGCTCTATGTTCTGTCTGGCGGGTGGGATGATGCCACTGTCTGCCTGGAAAGTGGAAGTGGGGGAAGGAGGAGGAGGAGATAGGCAAATACCAAGGGCGATGGTTACAGAAGTCCCTCAGCAGAAGGAACTGAGCTCTTATTGACAAAAAAAAAGGGGGAGTATCTTTAGAGCAGGATGGCGTGAGTCAGACTCCTGGTATTTAGTCAAATGAAGAAATGTTGGGCAGAGATGTAAGGAGCTGATGAGGGTCATCCAGATATGACTGTCCCTCTCTGGGTCCCCATTCCCAATGAGAAAGGGCTTGGGGTGAGGGATGCTGTGTATGGGTAACTGTTCTTGGTTTCACAGCTGATCCCCAACTCTTGTGCCACTCATGCCCTGCTGAGCGTGCTCCTGAACTGCAGCAGTGTGGACCTGGGGCCTACCCTGAGTCGCATGAAGGACTTCACCAAAGGCTTCAGCCCTGAGGTAGGCTGCAGTGCCTCGATCCTGACCCCAGGGCCCCTGGCAGTGCCACCACATGGCATTTGGCAGCAGGAGGCTTTTCCTTTTCAGCTAATTGTTTACATTGTGGCCTTGAAGTTAATCATGTAAGGCAACTGATTTTTAAGTCCACTTGTCAGGACACAGACCTAGAGAAGGAAAGATTGCTTATGTGACACCATGTTAGGCCTTTCTTTACTAGGACTTTATCAGGCCGTGTTGCTCCCCAGTGTCCACTGATTACCATGCAAGACCACTACAGCCCATTTCTTCAGGGCTCCAGAGCTCACTTCTGCCCCCTCTTGCGTTTCAGGAGAGCCATCTTGTTGCTTCAGGTACCTGGAATGCCCAGGCCTGCTCTCCTGAGCTTTGCTTCCCAGTGGTCTGCCTGAGAAATTGTTTCAATGTGCCTTATTTTCTTCCCTTAGAGTAAAGGATATGCGATTGGTAATGCCCCGGAGTTGGCCAAGGCACATAACAGCCATGCCAGGTCTGTGGGACTTGGTGGGAGGTGATCAGGGTTGGAGTGAGGAAGGGTTGCCCATTCTGGGCCTTGACCACGTCCTTCCCTAGGCCTGAACCACGCCACCTCCCTGAGAAGCAGAACGGGCTGAGCGCAGTGCGAACCATGGAGGCATTCCACTTCGTCAGCTATGTGCCCATCACAGGCCGGCTCTTTGAGCTGGATGGGCTGAAGGTCTACCCCATTGATCACGGTAGGCACTCTGAACAGGGCCCATTAGGTCTCTCTGCTGCCTTGCTAGGGCTGAGGTCCTCAGGTGCTTGGGACCCAGTGGTGGGGCGGTGGGTGGGTGGGGGAATTGAGGACAACCTGGCTCTGGCCAGATGGCACTGTGCAGACTAGCCCCTGACTGACTCTCTGGCTCAACTGCTTTTCATCCTCCTTCCCAAACTCAGGGCCTCCCACCTGCTGACTCCTCATCTTGGTCTTCCCTAGGGCCCTGGGGGGAGGATGAGGAGTGGACAGACAAGGCCCGGAGGGTCATCATGGAGCGTATTGGCCTCGCCACTGCAGGGTAAGGACCCTGTGCTTGCTCTGCCCTCTGGGGCTGTGCCCCTCTGGGAGGCGCAAAGAAAGGGAAACCAAGGCAGAGCGAGACCAGATGATTTGTCCAAGGCAAGATCAAGATTAGTTCTTGGGCTTCCAACTCCTTGCCCTACTTCCCCACCCAGATGGCCTATTTCAGGATAGGCTGAGGAGGGGCAGCCCTTACGGGAGCCCTGGGCGCCCCGAGTGTGGTGGCTCACTTCCTGACAGGCCACTCACACAGCTCCTTGGAAGGCACTAGCTCAGGTACCCAGCGTGAATGGCTAGCTGCTGCCTGCCTGCTGGGGTGGGGCCTGTACCTGTGGCTGCAGGCGTGACTTCAGGGCGCCTTGCCGGGGTGTCTGCCTCACGTCCGGGGCTGGGGCTGTGACTGCAGGGAGCCCTACCACGACATTCGCTTCAACCTGATGGCAGTGGTGCCTGACCGCAGAATCAAGTATGAGGCCAGGCTGCACGTGCTGAAGGTGAACCGGCAGACCGTGCTGGAGGCGCTGCAGCAGGTGGGCACCCGTCCTGCGTGGCCCCTACCCAGCCCAGCCTTTCCCTCCTGGCTACCGGGGCATCGGTTCCTGGCTTCCCACGTCGCTCTGTTTTGGATCTGGGCCTCAGCTCACCACTCGTCTCCCTTTGCTCCCTTGGCAGGAGAGGGGGGCTTGGAGTGGGGAGGGAGAACAGCTTCTCCGAGGAGGTGTGAGTCCATTGGCTGTAGCCTCCCGAGAGGCAGTGAGTGGGACCGAGGCCTGTAGCTGCCCGGCAGAGAGGCTGCAGTCTGCCTCTCCTCCTCTGAGCCTTGGGTTCTGTTTTCAGCTGATAAGGGTAACACAGCCAGAGCTGATTCAGACCCACAAGTCTCAAGAGTCACAGCTGCCTGACGAGTCCAAACCCGCCAGCAGCAAGTCCCCCCTGGCACTGGAGACAGCCAGGGCCCCGGCGGCTTCTGAGGGCACCCACACAGGTAACCAGGCCTGAGAGCCACCCCCTTTTAGCTTGACCTGGGAGGCCCAGGCAGAGCACATCTTCCTCTGTGAAGGCATCCAGGCAGTGGCTCCAAGGCTCCTATCGGAGGCCTGTAGCCTCTCCCCCTGGGACGAGGAGGAACAGTCCCTCCCTGAGGAAGGGCACCTGGAATGGGCTGCCATCACCAGCGGCCCCTGAGCCTTCCCTGGAGTGTCTAGTCCCTTCCTGGCTTACTCGAAGGGCTCTTTTCATCTCATCCTTCTCCTGTCTCGCTATGGGTCTTTCCGTCTCAGATGGGGTGGAGGAGGTGGCTGGTGCGTGTCCACAAGCCCCGACACACAGCCCTCCTGGAAAGCCCAAGCTGGTGGTGAAGCCTCCCGGGAGCAGCCTCAATGGGGTTCCCCCCAGCCCCTCTCCCATTGTCCAGCGGCTGCCGGCCTTCCTGGACAATCACAACTATGCCAAGTCCCCCATGCAGGTAAGCTGAAAGAGCCCTCACAGAGTCCCTCCAGGTAGCCAAGTCCCTTTGATACTCAAGAAGCCCCCATAACAACAGGGGCTTAGGAAGGCAGAGAGATCTCCTCGGGCTTTAAATCCATTCACACAGCTGTGGGGCTGAATGTGCAGGACATGTTCCTTGGCCCAACCCCATGGTTGGGTTCTGCAGGTCAAATAAAGGCACATGTTTGAGCGTACTCTCTGAGAAGCTAATACCAAGGGCGATGGTTACAGAAGTCCCTCAGCAGAAGGAACTGAGCTCTTATTGACAAAAAAAAAGGGGGAGTATCTTTAGAGCAGGATGGCGTGAGTCAGACTCCTGGTATTTAGTCAAATGAAGAAATGTTGGGCAGAGATGTAAGGAGCTGATGAGGGTCATCCAGATATGACTGTCCCTCTCTGGGTCCCCATTCCCAATGAGAAAGGGCTTGGGGTGAGGGATGCTGTGTATGGGTAACTGTTCTTGGTTTCACAGCTGATCCCCAACTCTTGTGCCACTCATGCCCTGCTGAGCGTGCTCCTGAACTGCAGCAGTGTGGACCTGGGGCCTACCCTGAGTCGCATGAAGGACTTCACCAAAGGCTTCAGCCCTGAGGTAGGCTGCAGTGCCTTGATCCTGACCCCAGGGCCCCTGGCAGTGCCACCACATGGCATTTGGCAGCAGGAGGCTTTTCCTTTTCAGCTAATTGTTTACATTGTGGCCTTGAAGTTAATCATGTAAGGCAACTGATTTTTAAGTCCACTTGTCAGGACACAGACCTAGAGAAGGAAAGATTGCTTATGTGACACCATGTTAGGCCTTTCTTTACTAGGACTTTATCAGGCCGTGTTGCTCCCCAGTGTCCACTGATTACCATGCAAGACCACTACAGCCCATTTCTTCAGGGCTCCAGAGCTCACTTCTGCCCCCTCTTGCGTTTCAGGAGAGCCATCTTGTTGCTTCAGGTACCTGGAATGCCCAGGCCTGCTCTCCTGAGCTTTGCTTCCCAGTGGTCTGCCTGAGAAATTGTTTCAATGTGCCTTATTTTCTTCCCTTAGAGTAAAGGATATGCGATTGGTAATGCCCCGGAGTTGGCCAAGGCACATAACAGCCATGCCAGGTCTGTGGGACTTGGTGGGAGGTGATCAGGGTTGGAGTGAGGAAGGGTTGCCCATTCTGGGCCTTGACCACGTCCTTCCCTAGGCCTGAACCACGCCACCTCCCTGAGAAGCAGAACGGGCTGAGCGCAGTGCGAACCATGGAGGCATTCCACTTCGTCAGCTATGTGCCCATCACAGGCCGGCTCTTTGAGCTGGATGGGCTGAAGGTCTACCCCATTGATCACGGTAGGCACTCTGAACAGGGCCCATTAGGTCTCTCTGCTGCCTTGCTAGGGCTGAGGTCCTCAGGTGCTTGGGACCCAGTGGTGGGGCGGTGGGTGGGTGGGGGAATTGAGGACAACCTGGCTCTGGCCAGATGGCACTGTGCAGACTAGCCCCTGACTGACTCTCTGGCTCAACTGCTTTTCATCCTCCTTCCCAAACTCAGGGCCTCCCACCTGCTGACTCCTCATCTTGGTCTTCCCTAGGGCCCTGGGGGGAGGATGAGGAGTGGACAGACAAGGCCCGGAGGGTCATCATGGAGCGTATTGGCCTCGCCACTGCAGGGTAAGGACCCTGTGCTTGCTCTGCCCTCTGGGGCTGTGCCCCTCTGGGAGGCGCAAAGAAAGGGAAACCAAGGTAGAGCGAGACCAGATGATTTGTGCAAAGCAAGATCAAGATTAGTTCTTGGGCTTCCAACTCCTTGCCCTACTTCCCCACCCAGATGGCCTATTTCAGGATAGGCTGAGGAGGGGCAGCCCTTATGGGAGCCCTGGGCGCCCGAGTGTGGTGGCTCACTTCCTGACAGGCCACTCACACAGCTCCTTGGAAGGCACTAGCTCAGGTACCCAGCGTGAATGGCTAGCTGCTGCCTGCCTGCTGGGGTGGGGCCTGTACCTGTGGCTGCAGGCGTGACTTCAGGGCGCCTTGCCGGGGTGTCTGCCTCACGTCCGGGGCTGGGGCTGTGACTGCAGGGAGCCCTACCACGACATTCGCTTCAACCTGATGGCAGTGGTGCCTGACCGCAGAATCAAGTATGAGGCCAGGCTGCACGTGCTGAAGGTGAACCGGCAGACCGTGCTGGAGGCGCTGCAGCAGGTGGGCACCCGTCCTGCGTGGCCCCTACCCAGCCCAGCCTTTCCCTCCTGGCTACCGGGGCATCGGTTCCTGGCTTCCCACGTCGCTCTGTTTTGGATCTGGGCCTCAGCTCACCACTCGTCTCCCTTTGCTCCCTTGGCGGGAGAGGGGGGCTTGGAGTGGGGAGGGAGAACAGCTTCTCCGAGGAGGTGTGAGTCCATTGGCTGTAGCCTCCCGAGAGGCAGTGAGTGGGACCGAGGCCTGTAGCTGCCCGGCAGAGAGGCTGCAGTCTGCCTCTCCTCCTCTGAGCCTTGGGTTCTGTTTTCAGCTGATAAGGGTAACACAGCCAGAGCTGATTCAGACCCACAAGTCTCAAGAGTCACAGCTGCCTGACGAGTCCAAACCCGCCAGCAGCAAGTCCCCCCTGGCACTGGAGACAGCCAGGGCCCCGGCGGCTTCTGAGGGCACCCACACAGGTAACCAGGCCTGAGAGCCACCCCCTTTTAGCTTGACCTGGGAGGCCCAGGCAGAGCACATCTTCCTCTGTGAAGGCATCCAGGCAGTGGCTCCAAGGCTCCTATCGGAGGCCTGTAGCCTCTCCCCCTGGGACGAGGAGGAACAGTCCCTCCCTGAGGAAGGGCACCTGGAATGGGCTGCCATCACCAGCGGCCCCTGAGCCTTCCCTGGAGTGTCTAGTCCCTTCCTGGCTTACTCGAAGGGCTCTTTTCATCTCATCCTTCTCCTGTCTCGCTATGGGTCTTTCCGTCTCAGATGGGGTGGAGGAGGTGACTGGTGCGTGTCCACAAGCCCCGACACACAGCCCTCCTGGAAAGCCCAAGCTGGTGGTGAAGCCTCCCGGGAGCAGCCTCAATGGGGTTCCCCCCAGCCCCTCTCCCATTGTCCAGCGGCTGCCGGCCTTCCTGGACAATCACAACTATGCCAAGTCCCCCATGCAGGTAAGCTGAAAGAGCCCTCACAGGGTCCCTCCAGGTAGCCAAGTCCCTTTGATACTCAAGAAGCCCCCATAACAACAGGGGCTTAGGAAGGCAGAGAGATCTCCTCGGGCTTTAAATCCATTCACACAGCTGTGGGGCTGAATGTGCAGGACATGTTCCTTGGCCCAACCCCATGGTTGGGTTCTGCAGGTCAAATAAAGGCACATGTTTGAGCGTACTCTCTGAGAAGCTCTGTGTAGGCAGGTGGTGGCGGGGGTGCGGGGACAGCAGCCTCCCCAGAAGGCCACGGCAGATTGGGCCTGGGAGAGCCTTGTTAGTTTTCTTCCCATCTGTGAGTGCTGTGCCCAGCCTAGGCTGGCTGGCCCCCGCTCATGGCTGCCCTGGTCTCTGTCCCAGGAGGAGGAAGACCTGGCAGCAGGTGTGGGCCGCAGCCGAGTTCCAGTGCGCCCACCCCAGCAGTACTCCGATGACGAGGATGACTATGAGGATGACGAGGACGATGACGTGCAGAGCACCACCTCTGCCGTCAGGTTAGCCACAGCTCTGTGCGGCTGGAAGCTCCGCGTGCCGTGGTTGCTATCTGGAATATTCCAGCCCGGGTCTGAGAATAATGCCGAGCATCTACTGAGCGTAGAGCCCTGGGGAAAGGGCCGAGCACATTTAACGAGACATCAAGGCAATAAGTTGGGAGGTAGCCTTTCAGCTAGGCCTTGAGACTGGATGCAGCAGGCCTGGAGTTGTGGTGGGAGTAGCTTTGCTGAAAGATACAGCATTGGCAAAGGCCAGAAGTGAGGCAGTTGGAATAAAGAAGGTGTCATTTGAGGACACCTGGCTGCCGCTGTTAGAACTCAGGGTGCCAGGCTTGGCATGGCTGGGTCAGGCTGCTGGACCAAGAGGAGCTGTTGTGTCAGTCCCAGAGGCCAGGGTGTGTTGAGGCCATGCTGGGTGTGGTCACTTGGCTCATCCCCTTGGCTCACCTCTCTTTGGGCACCCCAGGTACAAGCGGAAGGGGCCAGGGAAGCCAGGATCATTGAGTGGCTCTGGGGATGGGCAGCTGTCAGTGCTTCAGCCCAACACCATCAACGTCTTGGCCGAGAAGCTCAAAGAGTCCCAGAAAGACCTCTCAACTCCTCTGTCCATCAAGACAGGCAGCGGGGCCGGGAGTCCAGCGGTGGCCATGCCAATGCACTCGCAGCCCTCGCCCACCCCCAGCAATGAGAGCACAGACACCGCCTCCGAGATCGGCAGCGCTTTCAACTCGCCGCTGCGCTCGCCCATCCGCTCAGCCAACCCGACGCGGCCCTCCAGCCCCGTTACCTCCCACATCTCCAAGGTGCTTTTTGGAGAGGATGACAGCCTGCTGCGTGTTGACTGCATACGCTACAACCGCGCTGTACGCGACCTGGGGCCTGTCATCAGCACAGGCCTGCTGCACCTAGCTGAGGACGGGGTGCTGAGTCCCCTGGCATTGACAGGTGGGCCTGGGGCTGGCTCACTGGCCGCTTGGTATAGGGAAGAGGAAGATGGCCAAGTGACCACCGGGTGTCTTGCCCTCTGATGGGTTTTCTCGTGCCTTCTCTTTCCAGAGGGTGGGAAGGGTTCCTCGCCCTCCGTTAGACCGAACCAAGGCAACCAGGTGTCCAGCGGCCTGGAGGAGAAGGAGGTAGTGGAAGCTGTGGATGGCAGAGAGAAGTCTGGGCTGGTCAGGCCCTGTGAACCCTCAAATGGGGAGAAGTACTCACCCAAGGTGAGCCCACCTTCAGCTCTCTTTGGATCCTGGCAGAGGCAAGGGCCCAGGGCACTGTGGCCGGGTGCTGGTTATTGATTGGAATTTTGGTGTGAAGTTGGTGGCTGAAGCCAGGCCAGGAAGCCTGCCTGGGTTAGGTGTTGACAGGAGCCTCCACAGGCTGCCTGGACTCAGGCTGCTCAGTCTGGCCTCTGGCTGCTCCCTGGTAGTGGGGTTTTGGTGCCGGCAGCCCCCGCCCCAGACACTGCTGGGTTTTGGCAGGAGCTGCTGGCGCTGTTGAAGTGTGTGGAGGCTGAGATTGCAAACTATGAGGCCTGCCTCAAGGAGGAGGTGGAGAAGAGGAAGAAATTCAAGGTGGGTCCTCTCCTCACCTGCCTGGCCCTCTGCCCGGGGCTGTCCTCCCAGAGGTGCGACCTCCTGAGGCCAGCCGGTGGCTGCTCTGGAGAGCTGGCTGCCACTGCTTCATCCTTCTCTCTCTCAGGTCGACGACCAGCGGAGGACCCACAACTATGATGAGTTCATTTGCACCTTCATCTCCATGCTGGCTCAGGAAGGTGAGGGGCTTGCTGCTGGCACGTGCCTGACGTGCCACGCTTGGGACCATGGCCCTCAGTGCCCCCTCCAGGGGCTCAGGGCAGGAAGGGAGAGCCTCAGTTCCAGGCCCAGCAACAGAGCCCATCGGGGGGGCGACTGCTGGGCCTCCAGCCCCTCCTCAGGGGCCTCTGCCTCTCCACAGGCATGCTGGCCAACCTGGTAGAGCAGAACATCTCGGTGCGACGGCGCCAAGGGGTCAGCATTGGCCGGCTCCACAAGCAGCGGAAGCCTGACCGGCGGAAACGCTCACGCCCGTACAAGGCCAAGCGCCAGTGAGGGCTGCCGACCCTGACTGCGGCCGCTCTTGCCGCATGGCCCTCAGTAGGGCCCCCCTCTGTCCCACTCCTCTTTCCCAGTGTTACTGAACAGCTCCAGCCACAGAGCCCAGGCCTGGGAGCCAGGCCAGAGTCCCTGCTCCGGGAATTGTGCCTGGGGCCAGGTGGAGCCGGGCAGTGGGCTCTGGGGCAGCAGCTGGAGCTGGTGCACGGTGAGGTGCCATGGCCTCCTCCACAGCCGGCTGTGGAGCAGCGGGACCTGGCCTCTCCCCTAGGCACAGAATATATATTTTACCTACAGAGACGTCTATTTTTCTGGGCTCTAACACATCTTGCCACCGCTGTGTTGACATAGCCAGCTTCCTGACTGCCTTCACTCTAACAGCTGTCATCCTGGTGGGCCCAGGTCCCTGCTTCGTGCAGGGATCATGACTGCAGGGTCACAGTTGGGGGTTGGGGTAGGCATTGGGCTCTGCTGCCCTGGCCCAGCCACCACTGGTCCCAGTTGTGAGCGAGTCGGGTGTGCTGTCCATCCTCCTGGGAGAGCTCCAAACTCAGGCCTGGTGCTGGGCTGGGTTGGGAGTGGGTACCCCAGTGGATAGTTGAGGGGTCCCGTGGTCTGAGTGAAGTGTTTGGTGGCCCTGTAGTCTCCCTTGTGGCTCCAGCTGGGCTTATCAAGACTGCTGTCTGCGATGAAGCTCTGGGCTCTGCCTTCAGTGTTGTGGCCCTGGCAGGGGGCCTGCCTTGGGCTCCTGGGCTGTCCCTGAAGCCTGGGGCTCAGAGGAGCCTCTGCCCAGCCCCTCAGTATTACCATGTCTCCTTGTGGGGATAGCAGAGACAGGGCTGCTTGCAGGAAGCTGGCCCCACTCAGCTCCCCCTGCCATGTCAGCTTCCCCAGCCTCTCCAGGCACTTGGGGGACAACAGGACCAAGACAACCAGTTGGAGCCCCAGTGTTCCCAGAGGGCCTGATGCCAAAGGGTAATGGGCCCAGCACTGCCTCTGGAGCTCTGGCCCCAAGCACAACCCTGTGGCCTCTGCCAGATGGCTCTGAAGGTGATCTAAGGAGACCCAATACCTGTACATAGCAACTAGGGCGGGGGAAGGCTGGCAGGCACCCTGCCTCTGTGCCAAGCATAGCTTGGCCCCTCTGGCCCCTGTAAATACTGGATCAGTGAATGAATAAAATTCTCCTAAAAACTGAGCCCTCCTGTTGTTGCGGGCCTGAGGCTTGTAAGCTGGGCTGCAGTGGGAGTGAGGCCCCCTAACCAGACCCAGGCCCAGGGCCTTGTCACCAGAGAGGTGAGCAGCATGCATTCTAGGGCATCCAGCCTTCTGAGGCAGAGATCGCTAGGACCCCAGGCCTGAGAGTGAGGACCTGAGCTGGGGGCGGGGCGGGGTGGATGGTGGTGGTGCTTCTGGTGGGCTGTGGAGCCTGGAGAGATGTGCAAGGAGCACTTTGAGAGGAGACAGTTGTGGTGGGCCTGGTGGCTGCCGGGTAGGCGCTGGGGCTCTGCACGGTGGAGGTGGGGCTGCCTCCGGCCTCACTGGTGTGCTGTCCAGGAGAGGCCTGGGACTTCGAAGGGCTCCCCCTCTAGTTGCCCCTGGGCAGTTCCAGCCAATCAGAGCTGCCCCGTGCTCACGCTCTGGAGGCCACCGCAGCCCCTCGCCCCCACCACTGCCCCTGGCAGGGAGCCCCACAGAGGGCCTGGTGTAAGCAGCTAGGCTTTAAACTGCTCAGCACGCTCAGCTTTAATGGCCTGAGCCTGCCTGTCAGAGTCTAGTAGTCCAGGGCACAGATGAGGGCCACGCCACGCTTTATCCAGTGTCGCTGGGGCTGGTCGGCGGGGATCTCCACAGCGACAACGTAGTTGGTGGAGTGGCCTGTGGTTGACAGTGTTCCTGGAGAAGGAGTGGAGGTTAAGTCGTCTACCACAAATAGAGCAGGAACAGGACAAAGACGAGGGACTTGGCAGATAGTTGGAGACAAGGAAGGGCCCTAATTCCTGAGGAAGCCTGTCTGGTGAGTGGGTCTGCAAGGCTAAGGCTTGTCCGAGGCTGAGGGTGGGAGTGAGACGGCTGACGCACTGCTTGTCCCTGTTGGGGGCAGCTGACGTCGCTCGTCCCTCCCTGCAGGTTTGCTATCCCCTCTGAACTTCCATGGGTGGGCTGGGGCCCCCAGGACCAAGGTGGGTCTGCTGAGGGAGGCGAGAGCATGGTGACCTCCCAGCCTGGGCCCAGCCCCTGGCTCTCCCCTGCCTGCTGTGAGCCCAGCTCCGTCTGGGCCAGGTTCATCTCAGGAGTGCTGACATGTCGGCCATCCTGTTCAGGTAGCCTGGGTCTGGCCCAAGTGGCCCGGGCCCCCACCCGAGTGTGGGCTCCCCGCCTGGGCCCGTACCAGCTCGGGTCAGCGTCTTATAGATGGGGCACAGGTAGTGGTCCTGGTCCTGGGTCTTGCGGTTGGGTGTCGGCAGGAGCCAGATGACAGCCATCTCTGTGTACAGCTCCTTGGGCCGCGATTCAGCCAGCTGGAAGGCCACAGGGTCCCAGCGGGCGCCTTCCAAGAACAGTCCGTGGATGTAGCTTCCCTCTCTGGGCCTCTCCTTGAGCTCCGGCACTGACTGGCGCATCACCTGCGGTGGGCACGCATGACACCCAGAAGCTGAGTTGGGAGGCACAAATACCTCCTTGAGGGTTTTGCCTGCCTGTTGCTCACCCACCATTTCAGCTGGTTGCCTGCAGGCTGCGCCCTGCCCCTGGAGACTTCCCTGGGCTTTGTGGCCTCCCTGCCCCCCAAGCCCATCTCCGGTGTCTCCTAGGTGCCAGCCAGCAGTGGCCTCAGTGTGCCTCCTGCCTGAGTTGTACCCCAACCTGTCACCTGCCCTGGCCCTGACTGTGCACACCTTGAAATCGAATGAGATGGTATCAATGGAGATGGCGGACTTGCGGGCAAAGTTCTGCAGTGTGCCTGTCAGGAAAGCCTGGGGGAAGAAGAAGCCACTGATCCAGAAGACAGCGGGGATGCCCTGTCTGATCCAGGCCTGTAGGAAGTCCACGCGCTGCAGCAGGTCCCTGACCCATGCAGACAGCGGCTTGAGGGATGGGTAGGCCTTGGTGTTCCAAAGCTCAGGCACGGTGTTGTTGTATAGGTTGGCAGCCATCAGCTCCAGCGGGGAGGACATCACCACCAGCCCCTTGAGGGCCTTGAGCAGGTCTTTCAGTGTCCCTGTGATCACCTGCAGCAGCCGGTTGTACCTAGGGGGCCGTGGCAAGCAGACAGGCAGTGGTTCAGGCCATGTGGCAGTGTCTACACTACCCAGCTGTAGGCCAGAGACAGAGAACTATGGCAAAACATAGGGGCTAAGAGCATACAGCTGGGCTGGGCAGCCTGGGGACCAATCCCAACTCTGGCCCTTAGCAAATATGTGACCTTAAGTCACGTAACTGTTCAAGGCCTTGGTTTACTCATCTGCAGAATGGGAATAATAAAAATGTGGCTGAGTTAGAGGATGGATTTATTGCACTTGGCATGCGTGGCACCTGGCCCATAGTAGCTTTTGCTGTCATTTCTCTACAGTCCAAAGGCCACCACGGCTGGGGGAGGTGAGGAATTACCGAATGACCTCCTGTACTAGCACCGTGTTCATTGACTCCTCATACAGCACGGGGTACTTGGCCATGACCAACTTCAAGTTGATGGGTTCAGGCACCTGGAGCAGAATGTTCTGGGCTACGTCCTCCACTACCTGTGGGAGCAAAGGGGCACTGGAGGTCTGGGCTGGCCCCCCTTAATCCTTGCAGGATTCCACATGCACAAAGTTCCTTCCCATAGGGGTGCAGACAGGATGGGGGTGGGACACTGGTCCTGCCCAGCTCTCAGGCCCCTTCCACCACCTGCTGCCACCCACCTCCTCTCGGCCCAGGCCACCCACAGAGGATGATCTGGGTTGCAGCTGGATGATGGTGCCAAGCAGAGTGTATGTCTCATTCTGGGCGAAGGTGATGTTGGCATTGTCATGCAGGCCAAAGATCTCAGGCATGTCGTTGAGAGGGAGGCCCTTGATGTAGGAGAGGTAGCCCTGGAGGTGGGAGGGGTAGGAGGGTGGCCACTGAAGCCCCTGCCCACTCCACCCCAGCTGGGGGGGGGCCTCCAATTGAGCACAGCCCATTGTCACCCCTGGTTGCAACCCTTATGCATCTCCCTGGTCGTGGGACTCCAGGGCCTCTGAGGCACTGAGGGTGTCTTCTTCTCTTCCAGCCACCTTCCTGCTGCCGGCCCTTTACGCTGACAACCCACACTCTGGAATGCCCGATCCAGGCCCTGACCACCTCTCCCATCTTAGCAGGAGGCTTGTTTCCTCAGGAAGCCCTCCCTGGCCCCACCATCTGGGTGGGCTACTGCGGTTAGCTCAGGCAGCGGCTGGGGGGCAGGGGCAGAGGGAGAGTGGGGGCAGGAGGGGCGCTGCCCTGCCCACGGCTACCTCTGGGGGCTCAGGAGTTCCTCCCCCAGCACCCAGGTGCAGTCGGCACCTCGGCACCCAGCCCCCGGCCTGGCCCAGGCCCCTATGGCGGGGTGTGCGCACATGGAGGTCGTGGGTGGGTGGGATCTGGTGGTAGACGCCAGAGGCGCTGTAGCTGTGCTGCGGGAAGAGCACAGAGGGGCTGTAGAAGTCCTCCAGGATGCTCATGACGCAGCGGCGATCCCAGTCATCGGTGACGCGGCCCCCATAGTTGATCTCCCCCGCGGTGTACTTAAGGACCTGCGGGGAGGGTGGGTGAGGGCCCGCGCACGCCTGGCCCCCCCCCTGGGGCTGCCCCTGGCCCACCTTGTAGGGGACGTCCTCGTACTCATCCAGGAACATCCTGAGCTGGCTGATGCAGATGCGCAGGTCCCCGTCTGTGAACTCATAGGGGATGTTGAAGCCCAGCGGCCCAAACTTACGGCGCTCCAGCACGTTCCCGTGGAAGAGGCACAGGGACAGCAGCAGGGACTTGAACTCCATCACCTGCCGGTGTGGGGCAGCAGTGAGGGGCGGGGTGGGCAGTGAGGGGCAGAAGGGATGCTGGCAGGGCTGTGGCTGCCGCTCACCTGGTGACAGGAGTTGAGGAAGTCGTCGCTGAGGCTGCTGTAGGACTTGAGTAGGTTGGCCTTGACGCCGCGTGGTGGCTCAATGGTCATCTTGGAGCTGTTCTGCAGGATGGACACTGGGAACTTGTTGCTGGGCAGGCTGGTGAGCCACAGGCGGAAGTCCCGGTGCACCTAGTGGCCACACCCCACGTAAGCATGCAGACCCACGCTGGGGGCCACCGGCCCACCAGAGGCCCTGGGCCACGCCCACCCTGACCCACCCCTGGCTGGGCCTCGTGCAGAGCCTGGGGTAAGATCATAGCCTCGGGCAAGTCCAGGATCACTGTCTGTACCAGCTGGCCTTGGGCGAGTCACATCACCTCTGGCCACAGTAACTGGCCGAGGAGGTGCCGAGTGGGGGCACTGAGAAGCTTAATCTAGTGATGTGGGCTACACATGTCGCCTCCGGGCGCGCCCTCCCCTGGCCCCGGGGTGGGGTGCATCAGCACTGCTCCCTTCGGCAGGGGAGGCCCGGGTGGAGGCAGGTAGGGCACTACACCTTATCAGGACTGATGTGCTCGATGAGGCGCTCCAGGGCGGGCATCCAGCTCGGAGCCAGGTGGCAGTTCTGGAAGAAGACCCACTTGCCCCTCTCTATGGAGTTGCGCATCATGGCTTCTGCCCGAGGGCCCTGTGGGGGCGGGTGCTGAGCAAGGTGGGGTGGGGGGGGTGCAGCTGGCCCCGCCCCCGCCCACCCCACCCTTACCTGGCCCTGGCCCAGGGAGATAGCAGAGAGCTTTTTGGAAAACTTCATCTCTTCTGCAAACTTGTAGAGGTCGGCAGCGGGGTCAGTGCCGGGCGACAGCACAAAGATGAGGGGTGTGGTGGAGTTGGAGTCTTTGAACACCAATGACAGGTTGGCTGTCTGCAGGGCAGGGACAAATGGTAGGGCCACCTGGGGCTGAGAGGCAGGGACCAGGGCAAGGGAGGGGGATCCTAGGGCTCCCAGACAGGGTCCCAGGGGGCCCTGGTCAGTCTGGAACTTCCCAGAGCCTCTGGATGAGCACTGGGATCCGTGGCCTGGCCCAGGTGCAGCCAGGCCCCTGAGACCCACGGGGAACCAGCTCAGTGCTGGC